ACGAACGTCACATCGCGGCTTGTAAGCACGTAATGTGTGTCGATGTTGAACAGCTTGAACCCTCGAGATATCTCGGGTAAGCCAATATACATGAACAGCATGCCTCGGGGAGACAGCTTGTTCACACGCATGGGTATGTTGACGTGTGCATACGCTACACAGCCAAATACGCGTAAACGTACGTAGTTTGATGAGGAACACTGCGTGGGAAATGGCTTCACCCCACAAGAACTGTGGTAAATTACCATGCAGTAGCATTGAGCGAGCCATGGTGACGATGATGCCCATACGCCGCTCGGCCACAGGGTTCCCGGGTCGGGGTATATGCATTCGTGTACGTAAGGCGGGTGCCGTATTCGCTTTGAATACGGACCCCGAGTTTAACATACTCCTTATCGTTGTCCATTTGGAGCGCTTGGATTTCCTCGAACTCACTGGGTGGTGAGTGATGGCAGCAAAGCTCAATGACGTCGGAGCGATAGCGCTGTCGTGCGTCGCGACAGAATGCGCTGAACTTGTCGTACAGGTCCGCGCGCTTTTGCATGATGTACACAAAAGTGTATCGGGTAAAGTCGTCGATGAACGTGACGAAATATCGACCCCAGAGATAGAGGGGATATTGATTGGACCCTACACGTCGGAGTGCACTCGTTCCAGAGGCCTCGATGAGTTGAGCAATTGGTTGCGTGAAAAGGGAAGTACTTTGGACTTCGATCTTAAGCATGTGTCGCACGAAGCATGGGCCATGATGGCCTGCCGAGAGATAGGAAATTCAAATACAGTCGAACGACGCCGCAATTTGCGTAGCTTGTCATGACTTGGATGGCCCAGTCGATGGTGCCATTGCATAGTGCCCTGTGCACTCGACTGCGTCACGAGGACGGTCGATGTGGGGTCGGCGATGCTCGGTGAAAGCCGCGTCGCAATGACATACAACCCGGTGGCTTCGTCGTAGGTAGCGGTGAACTCGCCGTCGTAGGTGGCTACAGTCCACTCCTGTGGGGTGATGGAGACAATTTTATGTCGATCCATATGTATTGCACGACCCACGGAAAATAAATTGAAGTGTTAATCTGGGATGTGATATACATCCTGCAGATAAATCACTAATGTGTCGTCGTTGATGCCAGCGACCTCGAGTCGGACTGTGCCACGGCCGATGACACGGAGTTGGTGGTCGTCGGCTGCACCAGCAAAGGATGAGAATAGTTCGAAGGTGATGAACCGCTCACGATGGAAAGTGGAGTGCTTGGATGCACCAATATACCGTCCAGTGACGGGATCGACTTTGCTCTTTGACAACCGGGCTGGTTGGAGACACATGAAGTGCCCATCCAGTACCCGTAAATACAAGTGATCGCGATACAGTAGTACTGTATCGAGCGAATCGTAAATACGGACTGAAGTCCTGTAATAATGTCGAAAGTACTTTGGATGTACTTGACTTGTCGGTCGACTGTTTTAGTCCCGTAAATGAAACATGTGAATGTTGTTCATCTAAAATATGTCGAGGCATAAATGCCGGCATGTGTGCGTGAGACGTAAATACGGAGTCTGGTCACATTGTTGACGTGTGTTCTGCGACACTAACGTACGGATAGAGCCGCGCGACGCGCTGCGGCTTTGGCTGCGCTGGGGGGTGGAGGCCTGTTGGGCGTAGCCTTGGTCGACCGGCGGCGCGCTGCGGCTGCGGCTGCGGTGGCGCCGGTCGTCTTTGTTGGTGCCGCTGTCGTCGCGGTAGTCGCGGTACCGGTCACCTGAGCGACTGCGGTAGCGGGAGGCCGACTGACGAAACGGGCTATGGCCGCGTTGATCGTCGCGATAAGCGCCGTAATCGAGGCTGGTGTAGCCTGGATGGCCGCTGGGAACGTAGCCTGGTGGGCCGCTTGATGCGTAACCGGGTTGGCCGCTTGATGCGTAACCTTGGCGAACAGTGTTGAGAAAGGATGTTCCGGTTCCTCCACCGCGCCCGCCACCTTTGCCATGGCGTTTGCCACCGCGGTGGCCGCTTGGTCCGCCTTGAGTGCGTCGACCACCACCACCTTGGGGTAATTCGCCAGGTGGGATGGCAGCCCATCCTTTCGGGTAAAAACAACAGTGGACACCCTGTTCTGATACTGCCCTGTCAGTCAGGTAGCAGCGTCTGCTAGCTGTGTAGGAGGTTTTTGTGCCTTCTAGAGGCTTTTCCTCAGAGTAGAAGTCAGCGCAGACATTTGGTCACGGAACATCATTGGATGTCGTGATCAATCATAGTTAGTTTTGATTGGCTGGTTCTTTCCAGTCAGAAGTAATTCACTTCCAGTTATTCCTTCTGCCTGCCAAGTGCCTGTTCCTGCCTACTGCCCTTCCAACTGGTTATGAGCCTTCCACCCGCTACCTCTCGCACTGTCCTACCGTTCACGCAGCGCCTCCTCGGCGCCGAGAACTTCGACGAGTGGTTCTTTGAACTCACTACCGTCATCCTTGCCGGTGAGGATCTCACCGAGATGGCGACTCAGTGCGCGCAATTCGAGACGGCCACGTCCATGCAGGGACTCCGTCGTGCCTACAAGGTGCTATTGAATGATTGCAAGCGCATCCGGCTGCACCAAGCCGATGCGGCAGCACTGCCTGCCGGCGCAACGCCGCTCCTACCACTCACGCTCGACGCCCACCAACCCTTGGGTCCGGAGCTCACCGAGTGGCTCGCGGACAACCGCTCGACGGAAGAGGCGATCGCGAGGTCCACGTGGATGAGTTGACCAAGTTGGAGAAGACGGCCATCGCGCACTCATACGCGCTGGTCTACGCCTCCTTGTCACCCATGGTCCAGCGTGAATGCCGCTGTCGGAATTCGCGACGAACGTGCGCATTGCATCATTTCGTCGCTTCGGCGGAAGTTCTCCAGCGACGAACAAAAACATGCAACGGCCATCTCCGTTTACCAACGGTTACACACGTTCAACTTCAAGCCTCACATATCGTTGGATGTCAACCTCCAAGCCTTCGACAAGATGCGAACGGCAGTGAAGAAGCTGGAAGGGCGACCCCTCAGCGATAGCCACTTACAGTGTATCATCGGTCCTCCTACTGGCACTACCTGAGTGCATCGCTCCAGACCTGTTCGTATGGTGCGGCGCTCAGCCGAGCATCCCATACAAAACACATGCGCCAGTTGCTTGAGCAACACTGACCGGGCTTGGTCACCAAGAACCCTCATTACCTAGGCCCAGCGCCGATCGCCGCGGCTGCACCGGTGCATGGCTGGGCAACTGCGACCGCGACAACGCGCTCTAGCGCATTGGCACTTTCGGCCTTGCTCGATTGTTTAAATCAGGTTTATCTGGAACTTTGTATTCTCAAACCACCTCACCTCTTACTACAGTAGGGGTTAAGTGCATCTCAGTCGTTTGCGATAGCTAACCACTAGCGATACAGTAAACCCCGGAGATTTACCATCACATGTACTTACCGGGGGTAGGACGGAGATTACAAGGCTACTGGCGAAAAGGTGTATCCGGATGTAATAATTCCCTCATTGAAACAGTATTTCGGGTAAAAATCAGTGGAACTTTTCAATGACTTGTTAATGGAATCGCAAGGTGAGCTACCTTGCTCCTTTTAATATCCAATCACAGTCCATCATAATTCGTTTCTTACACATGATTGGCTATAACACTGGCAGAAGAGGTTACAATTTTGAACTGAGCTTTGTGTGATGCTGCTCCGGAGAATTGTGCACTGATGAGTTCACTCTGACTATTTCGAATGTTGTTCTCCCCTTACAGCTAACATTATGTTGTGCGCTCAGTTGGGTCGCAATGTCGTGGCGGCTCTGGTGGGCCGACCCGGTGGCGCAAGACGTCTTGGTGGTACCCATGGCAAGTGCTAAAGAGATGGCTTTAGCACTTGCGATGGGTACCACCAAGACGTCTTGCGCCACCTGCCCGCGCAACAACGTGATCACACCAGCCAGGAGGTGTACGGCATCGACACGGACTGGATGGTGGAATGAGGGATGACCATATTCATTGGGTTAGTAGGCAAGTGGTGATGTTACTGAAGTCTAGACCTGTTCAAATTCACCGAGTCCTGAATACTGAACCACATCGCATGATCTTGGTCTCATACACAGCCTACATAATTATCGCAATGCTCCTTGCATCAACCGCCATCACAGGAGTAGAATATATCGCAACAGGTTGTGTTGAATCTACGCAGCGATTTTCGTGATTTCACGGCATCTGATTGGACAAATTGGATAATTTGAGTTCGCAAGGTGACCTGCCTTGCGAATTCCAAAAATAGATAGACACATGAAATATAATAATCAACAATACAAACTTGAAGATAAATTTCATTGAAACTTTACAATTTCAGAATTATTTATGGACTTCGCAAGGTGCCTATTTCAGCTTGCATATTCTGGTTAATGGGTTTTGAATCGATGTGAGGGCCGGAGTATTGATTTAAGGATATTGAAATAGAGCGATGGCAAAAATGAGTAATTACTACTTCGTATGACTGTCCACTTGTTTTGTGATTGGCGGGATTTTTTTAATTTTGAGCGTTCTGTGTCGCTGATTAATGCACCCAGAAAGCGCAAGAACTCATCTTTGATTGGCTAGTTTCAGCGCTTTCTGAAACATTTTGCTTCAAATTTTATGCTCCCTCAAAGAGGTCGGTTGACCACCATTGGAATCTTACGGTGAGGATTCAATTCTCCACTTAACGCCTCCAAAACATATATAGCCTATTAGTACTCATCAGGACATGCCTCGCACAAATGCCCCGTTCGCCCCGACGCCTGAACGATGCAAGAAAGCCCAGGAGAACTTGAAGCCCGACCAACGCTGCGCAATGTACGCCAAGCTTCTGGAGTGCTCAGTTGGCGGCGAGCTTCCGTACGGTTCACAAAAGAGTATAGCCGAGCGGTTTCACTGTCATCCACGGACGGTCAAGCGCTTGTAGGACCTAGGACGCCTCTCAGAGAGGAGCAATGGCGGCGTTGCTGTGGTTGCGTCGAAAATCAAGGGTAAGTTCTCTATAATATGATATTTTTACGAAATATATACAAGTATTAAATGTTAAAGGGAAACTGTATTAGGGAATTCTGGACGCCCAAGGCTAAGAACAAATGAAGAAATTGAAGCTGCAGTAAAAGCTGTTCCCCAGTTCAACCGCCAAACTCTGCGCTCCTTGGAAGCACAAAGCAAGATACCCAAGGCAATTCTCTTCCGGCGCATCAAGGAAGTCAGGACTCTGAAGGGCCGATCAAGCTACATCAAACCCCTCCTCACGGATAACAACAACGCCATACGACTGGAGTTTGCGAAAAGCTTTCTTCGACCTTCAAAAGGCGGTCATCTTTTCGCCAGTATGCGAAATTGTGCATATTGATGAAAAGTGGTTCTTTTTGACGAAGGTCAAAAGAAAGTTTTACGTGTATGACGATGAAGAAATGGTGCATCGTGGAGCAAAGTCCAAAAATCTCATCACGAAGGTGATGTTTTTGGCCGCCGTCGCCCGACCCCGTTTCGACCACAACAAGAAGGTGGTTTTCGTCGGCAAGATTGGCGTTTGACCATTTGTCGAGGCTGTGGCAGCCCAGCGAACAAGCAAGAATCGGCCGAAGGGACCGGGACCCTCATTCAAGTCTCCGAAAATGTCAACGGAGATGTTTACGAAGCGATGGTTCTCGGCAAAGTTGTGCCTGCCATTTTGGAGTGTTTCCCAGTCGGTGACCTTGAACGTGGTGTGTTTATTCAACACGACAATGCCTGTCCCCATCGTCGAGTTACCACTGCTTTGCTGCGAAAAGAAGGGGTGTCGAATGTTAGCATGTTGAATCAACCGCCAAACAGCCCGGACTTAAATATTTTAGACTTAGGATTTTTTAACGCTATTCAAAGTCTGCAGTATCAAAAGTGTACTCGTTCAATCGGGGAACTTATTGAAGCTGTGGAAGATGCTTTTGTTAAATTTCCAGTAGACACAGTATGTAAGACATTCATTACTCTGCAAAAGGTGATGCAATTGTCCATTGAAGAGCATGGTAGTAATAATTCTAAACTTCCACACATGGACAAGGAAGCTACCATTGCTGACTTACGGCATTCAATGTAAGATGCGATTCATCTACACTGGTCAATTCCCAAGAACAAGTTGAGTCAGTGCTTGTATAAAAATAAGAAATAAAAATTCCGAGTCAATATGTCTTGCTCGAGGTCAATACAAATACCAAGACGTTTTAAAACTAGCCGGTATACTTTAATCAAGTCAAACAAGTGGACAGTCATACGAGAACAGAGTAGTACCTTGAAGTACGTACGTTTGTCAGAGCAGTTTCGTCGTCTAAACGGTGTGGCGGCGCGTTGTCAACGAGCATCAAGATTTTGCGGTCCTCCGCCACCATTCGTTCGTTCAAGGCACCGAGGTACGTGTTGAAAATCGTTCTATTCATCCATGCCTTCTTGCTTGAATGGTAGTAAAAACCAAGTTGCTGACCTGTGTGTCGATTTAAACATCTAGGCTGCACTGCACGTCCAATGAACAGCGTATAGACGATGTCAGCGCCATCTGCGTTGGTGGTAAGAGCAAGCGTGATTCGCTTTTTCGACTTCTTGGTGCCGGGGACTCGATGGCGGGTGATCGATCGGTGCGGCGACGAGCAGTAGAAGAACGAGGCTGTAACGGTAGCGAGCTTCACAGAGTAAATTGGAAAGTGATTAGATTGTCGTCTTAAACTACTAACGACGAAAATGTATACTATATATACTAAACTACATCAAGTAAATATTTTTCTCTACGGCTTCTTCAACGGCTTTGCCCGTTACTGGTGCGACAATCTTTAGCTTGTTCGACAGCCTTGCCATCATTTTGTTAACGATGCGACAAGCTGTATTCTTGGTCGGCAACCTTGCCATCGCTACATTCTTCCCCGGTTGTCAACTTGGCAGCTTGGATTCTTGAACGCAGCTCTTCAAGTAATCGTTTAAAATGGGAAATATGCTTGATACTACGCTCAAGCTCCCAAGTTGCTTCGTGTTCGGGCAAACCATGCCACTTGACTAAGTACTCTTTCTTCCGATTGAACTGCCGTTGCTTCAACAGCCCTTCAACGACGTGCAGTTCATTTCCCGCGTCATCGATAGGAGTTGCTTTGGGTATTGGTCTTCCTTGAAATCGTTCTGGGTTTTGGACATGATGCATCAAGCGATCCACAATGACATCGTAAAGCCTGCTCATGCTTCGTGGCAGCTTCAACCGCATCGCATTGGCATTCACAACTTCTTGTATCTTGAACGGCCCAATGAATTGTGACACGAGCTACGCCTATTCAGTCTTGTGTTTGACTTGAGCATGCTTCAACGGAATGTTTCGCGTCGCCAGCATCACATAATCGCCTTCCTTGAACTCTATCAACGATCGTTTCTTGTCGTATTAGTTCTTTTGTCGAGCTTATGCTTTTCGAGGTGTCAAGTGCCATGCGCACGAGTTTCTTGCGGTGTTCCGCAAAGTTCTTTGCATACTCGTTTAGTGCCTCGATCTCGTTCAGTGCTGGGTTGCGTAACTTTCTTCCCGTGTCCACTTCAATTGGTGTCAACCCCGTTGACGCTTGAACTAGGCTTGATGTGCATACTCGATGGTTCCAAGATGTTCTGACCAGTCGTGACCCAAGTATGAGACTTGGCATCTCAACGCATCTTCGAGGGTTCCGATTTTGTCGTTCGGTGGCTCCATCACTTTGAAGATCATGGGCGTCATGCATTGCATGACGACCCGCCGTCATCATGCAATGCATGACGCCCATGATCTTCATCAACTCTTGCCAAAATTCACTCGTGAACTTGGAATCTCGGTCGCTGATGATAACTACGGGCAAACCATGGTATCGCACGACTGCATCGAAGAACTCCTTCGCTTTTTGGAGAGCATCGACGTTCGACGTTGTCGCACAGTATGCAGGACCCTTTGACGTTTTGTCAACACATGTCATGATCGCATCCTTTCCGTTCGAGACTGGTAAGTCCGTGATGAGTCCATCGAAACTGTGTGCCAACATTCCTCAGGCGATTCGATCGGGATCATTCTTCTATTCGCCTTGGCGCTGCTTGACTTGTATCGCACACAAGTTTCACACACCCCAACTTAGAGCTTCACGTCTTCTTCAAGACTGCTCCAATAACACCATTGTGCAATGTGCAATTGCGTTCGCCGTACGCCGGGATGAGCTGTGGTGCTTGTGGCATGACTCTGCGAAATAATCTCGCCCTTGAGGTAGTCGTCGTTTGGAACGCACAACATCCACACTTGATCCTTCGACTTCACGAAGAAGAGTCCATCTTTCTTCTCGTACTTGTCTTCGTTCTCAAACTCCTTCGTCTTGGCGCATGCTCGCACAAAGCGTTGCTTCAAGTTATCGTCCATCTTGATCGATGAATACGAAAATTTCTCCGCGTGGTTGATGACGAGTTGATGCGGGACTTCGACATTCGACACATCGACTTCCTCCCCTCGAGAAGGCAAATTCATCATCAATTCCAAAGTGGGAATGTTCAAGCACTTGATATCATTCACTCGATCCTTCCATCGGTGAACACAACGATAGCGTTCGTAACACGTAGTGGCACACTCCAACAATGACCTCGGAATACCAGTATGTATCCCAAGGCTATGTACACAAACAAGCCTACCAAGGCCATTATACGCCCATGGATCAGTCAGTCTGAGAATTCCATCCAAATTCCTATCACATCACCACAAACCCTTTCCAGGGCGTTTAGGCAGCCCACAATCCCTTTCCTCATTTTTCATTTCGCCATGAAGTTCTCCCTCCTCAGTGCCATTGCCCTCTTCGCGGCGGTGGCCACCGCTCAAACCAACAACACCATCGCGGACATCGACGGCCGCGGTCGATCGCCCGAGGAGGAGGATGAAAACGAAGGCAATGCCGACATCAACCGCGCTTGCCACCAGGAAAACGCCAACTATATCCCGTCCCTCAAGGCCGGAGAGTACTCGACCAGTGCGTTCCACAACTGCTTCCGCACCGTCGACCAAATCAACGAGTTCATCGATACTTCGGTCGCCCAAAACCCGAACTTGCTGAGCAAGTTTGCCATCTCCAAGACGTTCAAGGGGGCCACGATTTACGGGTACAAGCTGACCAAGGGCAACTCGAAGTTGCTGTACTTTCAAGCCCTGCAACATGCTCGCGAATGGGTCGCGGGGTCGTCGATTCTGTTTTCGTTCGCGTCAATTCTGGATGACATTGCCAACAACAAACCCACGGCCGCCGACGAGTACGACTTGTACTTTGTGCCTGTCGTCGACGGCTATGAGATCTCATGGGAAGAAGGCCATCGGGCCCAGCGCAAGAATGCCAACGAAGTCGACTTAACCCGCAACTGGCCATCTTTCTACAGCGACCCCAAACGCCCTACCAAGGACGACGAGACGTACCCCGGTCCATCTGTGTTCAGTGATCCTGAAACCGCGGGAATCAATTACTTTCTCATATCCAAGCACAAAGAAATCGAAGGGTACCTCGACATTCACGCATGGGTGGGGTCCGTCCTGTACCCTTACGCAGACAATATAGAACCCATCGGCGACGGGTTTGACGAGAAGTTCGAAGTCCTCGCCCGTGGATTGCAAAGCGTAATGGGAGAGTACAAGACTGGACCGAGGCACACATTGCGCTTGTTGTGGTGGGCGACTTAACCCAAGTCCCGCCATGACACAGGTGGTCCTCAACCGAGGCCACCGGGTGCCGACCCTTGGCGAACCGACACGAAAAGGCGTAGTATTACTAGTAGTACTAGGACGAAGAAAACAGAACACCTGTCCCAGCCAACTGCCAGAATCTCACTCTTGGTTCTGCAACGTCGTGCTAACCTCAAGTCAATCAAGTGTGTGGTTTGCAGGGAGTCGGCACTCCCCCATTTTGTTGTTTGTGTTGGCACTGGCGTGGGAAACAACGCAAAGTATACTTTAGTTCCAGTGACCTACGGAACTGAGAGCAATGGCGAAGAACTCAAAAGATCACGCCCAGAAGCCGAAGGCCGCGGCAACGGCGCCAGCAGCTGCGAGCAGCGAAACTGAGGAGGAAGTACCAGTGACGGAGCCACCGTTGGTTCCGGTAGTTGGAGGGACCACGGATGTGCTGCCGGCTGTGGAAGAGTCCAAGAGCGAAGAAGTTCGGAAAGCGATGGAAGAGCTGGCTGCGGCGAAGAATGTAGCGGGTAGCGCGCGAGCGGTGTCCATCACCTGGGATGAATCGCGGCGGCGATATGGTGGACAAACCATGGGACCGAACTGGGAACAATTACCACGACCCCCAATCGAAGGCGCCTATGTTGACGAAGACTACCCGCCGCCAGAGAAGTCCGATGCCCAGAAGCGATCGGAAGAAAAGGCGGAAGCTCGAGCTAAACTACGTGCGGAGAGACGAAATCGGCCGGACAGTACTCCTGAGAGCGAGGAAGAAGAAAAAGAATACCAAGAAGAACAGCGTAAGCAAGCTGAGCGGCGGCGAATCAACAAAGCCAATCGTCCCCCAAAGGAGAAGCGTGTCGACCATGCCAAAGTAGCGCGTGCGGCCCATGATCGGCGGATGCTGGACACCACCCTACGAAGCAGTTCGGGATGGGGACTTCTTACGAGTGGACCACCGACGCCAAGCAGCGGAGGATGGGGGCAACTTCAACTCCAGTGGACCTTCATTGGTGGTGACAGATGTCCAACCCCCTCGGATCACCTGTATGGACAGAACATTCCTAGTAGTTGGGTGAAGAAGCGGGAGACATATGAGGACAAGCTACGGGCAAATGCGCGACGCATGGGTGGCGAGTGGCGTCGGAGTGCAGTAGGGTGGATTCCTTCCACTGACCGCAGCCTCCTGAAGGCTACATGCACCTATGTTTGGCGAGTGCCTGTGGAACAACTCAGTGAGGATGACTACCGCGACCGCATCATGGAAATCGTCGGACAACCAGCGACCAAGTGGACACCCACCAAGTCAGACATGCAAAACTACTGCCGGGCGCTGAGTGTCGACCCCCATGGAGACGTGACCAGTCGCCTGGTGTCATTTATGGAGCGGGTTGATGACGTCATCGACGAGAACGGCTTACGTCAACAACTCAAAGATTCAACCATGCTGAGAACGTTCGTGAAGGTGGTAGCAGCACGTGTCACACCCAGGTACCTCCGCGACAGAGTCGAAGAGCAAATGAAGACCGTGCCGGCGAACGATCTGGTGGCCTTTGCGGATATCCTACGAGAACAGCTCGGCCGAACGCATGACGTGGACATGGTCAATCAACAAAGAAACAGCTATGGTTCAAAGCGTGGCCGTGAAGAAGACGACCAAGGGCGCCGCATTACGAAACATGCGAAGAAGGCCAACCAAGCTGTTCGAGATCAGCGGGAATTACGAGGAAATTACCCACGTCCATAAGGTGGATATATCAAGCCGGAACGAAGTGCGGCGGTGTGGTCCCCGTCGACGCAAAAGCGAACGGGGGTCCCACCGGCCACAAAGTACGGACCGCAAGCGAACTCGCGCCCAAGACACGACGACCGCTATGCCCAAGCTGTGCGTGATGAAGCACGCCCTCGATTTGCACCCGGCCGGGATGACCGCGGCATACTCTGCTTTGTCTGCCAGCAGCCAGGACATATGGCCCGGGAATG